CCATTCCATTAAGGGTACTTTGCTTTATCTTTATAATTATTTACATTGTGTGCTCCGCTGTGAACTGGCGTATTGCCATCCATGAACATGTAGTCTTTGTCTTCTAAGTACTAAACAACTACTGGCCATACATTATTTTCTAGGATGTCAATGTACTTGGCAGAGTTGCTGTTGCCTTCAACTGAAGTCACACTTCCAACACCATCATATCAAAAACATCCCCAGATCATCAAATTTATCTTTTGTTCCACCTGTGATAGTCGTTCTTAGAATGCTCAACAGTCTTGACAGTTCAGCTTTGTTTTTCACGGATTCTGACAAAGTAACAATTAATTCTTTTGTCTCTGCAGACAGTTAAGCACTTTGTCGACTCACGAGTGCTGAATATTGTTTATCAGAAGCAAAACAAAATAACTGTGATCTTTTTTTGCGACCACCCGTTGCAGTTACTGTTGAATAACTGACTGAACGATGTGTCAAAACACAAACAGCTTTTGTTCGTTTCCTTTTGGGAAGTTTGAAATTTTTTTCTTGCTCTTAGTCGGATGTTTGTTTGTTTTTATTTTTACATAATTTTCCCGCCTTTATTGACCGATGTCGCGCTCCGCATCTAGTTTTCCCCCGCGTAGTGTGCACAACGCGGGTAAGAATTTCGCGCGTTATTTTTGATAGTGACGAATACTTATGTCCATTGACTGTAGTTTGTGTCACTCACGTAAGACCAAATTAAAGTGCGGTAATTTGCTTTCTTAACAGCTAAAGAAAGGAAGGTGAGTGAAATAAGGAGTGTTTGGGCGTCCCTTGCAGCCCCACCCAACTTCCCATTCCCTCTACTCCCCCTCCTAGTTCTCCTCTTCCCCCGTCCTCTCCCATTTGGCGTCATCTTGCAGGCGGGGTGCTTGATTAGCAAATTACCACTTCAATCCACCTCGAAACACTACCCCAACGTCCCCTCTCCCTCCCCTTTTCCGAAAAAGTCAGAAGGATATCAGACAATGCAACAGAATTAGGCAATGCCTTTGTATATTTAAACGAGTCGACTAAAAGAGAAAAGCTCATTCAAATACAAAAAGCAATGGCATCGGATTACGTTTTGCTTCGTTCCCTTAGCATATTCCGATAAAGAAATAAAATTTATGTACTAACCATATCCATAAGCACAAAGTAAAATAAGTACCTTCGAAATAAAGGTTTCGTTTGTATTTACCAGTGAAGTCCATACTACAACTCTAAGTATTAAGGCTGCGGTCTGGCTGCACCCGATTTGTACTTACCCGAGCCAATGGGAACTGTGGCTTGGTGAAATTGATAAATTTCTTCCGACAAGGTGGCGTTTACGCGGCGCGGTTTCTTTATAGTTTTCCGCGGTCCTCGATGACTTGGATACGAGCATGTGTTGCTCTTTCTGCCAGCCCAGTCTGTAGTTAGTTTTTTTCTGTGTCTCGGGCATATTGTCATTGACATTTTCTCGTTATCGGTTGTAACAAAGTATCCAGCTCTATTCAGGATCAGGTCAACCTCATTAACGTTTTCGTCTCCGGTTCGCAGTTGCCCTGAGCTGACTCCCAGGCTTAGTAGATGTGCAGTGATGTCTAGCTTGCACGCCAACAGGGGTACAACCTGCGACCCCGTGCCCTCCAAACTACAGGCAGAATCAGGAGAACTGAACGAACAAGTCAAACTAACATCCATATTGAAAACAGCAAAATCAGCTGAACAGGACAGCTGTCTGCAGATAATCAGATAAGGGATGGAAAATTATCTTTCCCTGAAGTGTACTTCTACCAAATAACAGAACCGCTCAATATTTCAAAGAGTTTGACAGTGAAGTATAGTATAATATGCAGGCCACCTATCTGAAAAAGTAATGTGTTGCTCTTAGTCACAAACACCGGGAATATGTCGCAAATTAATCAAGCGTGAAATATTTCCGGGAAAAACGACAATTATGCAAATTAGGAAATTAGGTTAAAGTTGTGAGAAAGCTCACGCGAAGGTATTTTAACTTGCCAAATAAGAGTTTGCGTATTTGTAAAGACTTTATGACAGGCTAAAAAAAAATAGTTTTGATCTGGATATAAACTGCCGCACTTTAGAGAAAACCAGATTGGAAAATTGCCAAAATTCTTCTTACTTGCGATAGCCACGAAGTGATGATATTTGGAACCGCTCCAAAGTAAGTTATTTTTAACAAAATTCGTTTATATTGAAGACATGAGCTGGTTATAGGCTGGAAAGTATGTACAGTTCGTATAAATGAATAAGGCTAATGCCAAGTAAGTAAAATGTGTCGTGGAAGTTTACCCAAATTTTCCGTCTCACGTGGGCAAAATAGCACCAAAAACTAGGGGGGTGGTCAAAATTCTAAGAAATTAATTTTATTTTACTAAAAATACCACCGATCGTAATCTTATCTGATAGAGAAAAAATGCTGAAAATTTGGAGGTAATCGGCCGACCTCGATCCGCGGACCCTGCCTGGTCCTTAGTGACAATGACACTTAAGTTTTCAAAGTATTGTTTTGAAATGTAAAACAAGTTTCCTCCACGTTTCCCAGAGGACATTAAAACAAGTAATTTTTTCCTTGATTTAATTATCCTACTTTTAACGTGAATGTCACTCATGGAATGCCGCCATGCTGGATTTGCACCCAGGCCCAACATCCTTTGCGAGAACCTTGGGTTCCAGGCTTCCCTCCTCCAAGCTCAGGTACAGTACATGTATTTGCTTTTGCCGCGAGTTTTTCCTCTTGCTGTGAGTTTTTGCTTTTGCCTTGAAGAATTTACATTTGCCTTAGTCTTTGCTTTTGCCGTGAGGTATTTTATTTTTGCCGTGAGGTCTTTGGTTTTGCCGTGAGGTATTTTGTTTTTGCCGTGAGGGTTCTGGTTTTGCTGTGACAGTTGTAGGCCACCGTAAACACCAATGTTCATGTATTATACACAATTAGTGGACATCGATTTTAATATAAAAAATAACTCAAACCATTAAATGCCCCCTTTAACTTGACTTCCCTTTAAATGAACGGTCAAACGACAAAGTTAGAGCCAGTAGTGTCTTGAAGCAATTTACATTTATAAAAGTACACCACCTTGATACCTTTTTGCAAAGTACTGTTTTCAAGACAGTTACATTTGGTAAATCAGACAGTGCAGTTGCATTCAATTTGTCAGTTTCTATTTTCAAGTCTCTGTGCAACTCAATTCACTCATTCACAGGGTATGGACAGAAAGGAATCTGCTCGTTTTTACATAGACTCTTTTCATGGATACAGCAAACCAAAGGAAATAACAGCGGTGTCATCTGCTAGTCTGTACCACATCCTCAGTAAGATAAGGTGGGTGGTACCTGGTCAAGGAGATGTCAGATCAAGGAATCATTCATCCTTCAAGATTTCTCATAAGAACGAACATTAGGCTAGCATTTATGTTTGCCAATGCCCATCTGCTGTAGGTGAAAAGTCATCACGAGAAGAATATTGTAATCGTGATTTCTCCGTTAATTAATCTTATGAAAGATCAAGTGAGCCGTCTATCTTTGCTTGGAGTAAGCGCAATAGCACTTAGTGATATCAGTTCGGCAGCGGATGTAAAAAAGGTGGAGAGTGGAGAATTCTCTATCGTTTACGGATCACCTGAATCTTGGCATGGCAACATTAGATGGCGAAGAATGTTGGCAAGCGAAACCTACATATCCTATGTGAGAGCAGTTGCTGTGGATGAAGCGCACGTGATTTGCCATTGGTAAGAAATATTTTTATCGCTTCAATCACCCTCATTTCAATCACTGAATATTATTATCTTTAATTCTTTACCAGTCAGGTATAATTTCATTCTTGTTATAGCCCGTTCCAGGCATTAAGACACATGTAAGGTGCAGTTGAGAATTCAAAATAAGGTGAAAAGGGGAAGTATTTAACTCGCCCCTAACTATCTAGGCCCGGTTCCTCAAAAGATAGTTACATTGAACCCAGGATTAAGGTAAATTTCAGGCAAAGTTTTCTCGTCTAAGAACATGAGCCTTCTCTATGACATACAGTAACAATAACACAAAATGTTACCCTACACAATGTATAGGAATGTAAAATACAAAAACAGATCAAAATTTTTATCCTAGCTTAACACTTATCGACCTTTCAGGAACCAGGCCCGAAGGTCTGTAACACAGTATTCGTGTTAGAAAATTCCCAAAGATTTTTTTCTTTTACAAATTTAATATAACTTATTGTACACTCAAACCTGTAAGTCCTGCTACTATGTACATCACCCCTGGTTACTTTCGTTCACAAAGGAAAAAAAAAAAATGAATAATTGAACCCAACTTTATTCCTATATGTTCATTTACCTTTCTATGAATTGCATTTAATTGCTATTATAGCCCACTAGATCTTATAGTTAGGTTATATGCATTATTCTAAGTATCGCTAAGATAATAATTTTATAAAAATAGTATCCATTCTTACTACTTTTACTTGCACACATTTGGCAGTCCTCTTAGTAAAAATAAAATTCCCCATTGCTGGGCATACCTCTAAAGTATCTGCAACTGTACTTGAAACTATTATTGGGGGGGAGAGGGAGGAGGGAAAATAATTTTGTGCCTTGTCACCCAAAACCATCACCACCACCATACAAACGTCTTTAAAACTTGCAACTTTGTGATGGTATATTCTTACTTCAAAATGTGCCATTTTCCATGAATTTCATGAATAATTTGGGCTAGGAGACAAACAAAATTGAACATCATTTTAACCTGAATTTAATTTTGACCTGTAACATAATTTATATTCCCTAATTTTGATCCAAGCCAAAAATGTTACAAACACTTTAAAAGTAGGTGTGGAATCAAACAGCTAAAGGAAGCCCATTGAATACCCCAGCCTTGTCCAACCTTGTACATAATTTTTTCTGGGAAAGGGTTCTTCAAACATTATGCTTAATTTTTGTTTTGGAAAGACTTTTTTTACTTAAGTTTCAAATGACCAGAAGCAATGAGAGAAGTCATTACCTAGCCGTCACACCTGAAGAAAACTTTTTTTTGTGATCATTTAACCATGCATACATCTTTGACATGTCTAGGTTTACCAAAGCATCTCTTTCAAAACTCTTGATATGCCTGTAACTGCGACCCTCGTGGTACTTGAAAACTTCTCTTTCATTTAGTTTTTTCAACAGTACATCTAAGTCAACTACAGGAAAACGTTGAATATGCTTTCCTGAGCGTATAAACCGCTGAAGAAGTCTGTCCACCTTTCCACTAATGTTCCTGACAGGTTTCTCAGCATGGCAGATTCTTGATACTGCCTTCTCTGAGAGGTTTGCTCCAATGTTACGGTAGCCTTGCTTGTTGAAATTGTTACTACGCTCCACTTCTAGGTCATGTCGAATGTTGTTTCTAAGACCTCCATGATTGTTAACAGTCCTGTTCCACACAAAGATCTCTGACTCCTTCTGGCTTAAACCATTCACCAAGAGCAGCTGGCACAGGCTCTCCAGTGCATACTTGGTGCTGTGTGGGTCATCTGCTTTACATAAAAGCATTAGATAGTTGTATTGTCTCATGATCCGCTGGCCATCCCCTTCTGAGACAGCATCCAAAAAGTTCATAAAGAAAAGTCCTTCTGAGAGAAGTGCAGCACTGTAATTAAAAACATCATCTCTACTTTCGGACGCCTGGTCTGTGGTTGTGGATGAAGTTGTGGTTGTCGATATACTTTAAGCGCCAAACAAGCCAACTTTACCGTTCATGAATTTATGAAAAATTTGCAACATTCCTATTCGATTTTGGATGGCTTGAGAAAGGTGGTCATGACTCAACAGGACACCAAAATAAAAATATTTTGTCTTAAACAGGCACGGGGTTCGAGGGCCTCTGAGCTTCACTACCATAACCACCATAACCCCCACCTGCCTTCGGACTTTTTTTTCCATACAGAGAAATGGCAAAGGACTAATATGCCCGAACGGGTTTAGACGTAAAGGTTAACGTTCAATCAGAATTCCGTTTAAAAGGTGACTTTTAAATTTTTCAGATCTGTAAAATCCTTTCATAGAAATTTGAAGATGTCGAATCGTATTTCAAATCAACGGTGGTACCATTTGTGGTGCAATTTCAGGGGGTTGGCCTGGAAGGGGAGCAACTACCAGATGTGACTGTGCCCCCTAAAATCGACCTACTGAAACAAATCATAATGATGTTAAATTCGTAAGGGAGTCAAGATCCGAACAGGTAAGAAATGAAGTTCCATTATTTTCTAAAATATTTCGCGATGCCTTCTGAAGTGTTTTTAAAAGTTACTTTTTACTTATTTCAACTTCTTAATTGTCAACTTTTTCAAATGAAAAGGGCGGGAAATTACTTGATGATGATTGCTCGACCATCAAAATTTTCCTGCTGTTTATTGGCTGAGCCGTATAGTCCGTGCCATTAGTTTGTTTGGGTTTTCAACAATTAGTGGATAAGGTTTTTGTGGTATCCAAATTAATGGAGGGAAAGGTCTGTACATGTGAATTTGTTAAAATTCTTTAATATTTCATATTATTCATCTGCGACAAATAGTTCTAGTCTTGCAACGAGGTAGACTTAATTTTTTTTTTAGAAGGAAAGAAAGAAAGAAAGAAAGAGATGATTGTTTGAGTCCAGACCTTAAATTGCTTGAGAATTTTAGTAAAATCTATAAATTGTAATAGCGAAATTGAATTCTGGCAAAATTGAGATCAAGGAAAAATTGGACAATAAAATGATAATAAAATAAAACGGTAAACATTATTTCCAAGTAAGTTCTATTTGCACAAATTTGGTAGGTGAAACAAGTTATTGACATTGGAAGGACGGATGGTGAACCCTTGTCGTAATCCAGACTGCATTTCATAGGAATTGGCCCTATCAAAGCTCCGATATCCACGCAATGCAGAAGAAAGAGAAAAATGGTAAAAGCCAATGCAAAAAAATAGACGGAAAAAACGTGCGGGTCACGTACATATACCAGACTGCTTTTGGGAAGCAGCTCAATACCATTCTCAAAAGTAGGCAATACTCACTCCAGCTCCAAAATTGCATTCATTGCTAGCACTACCTACTTTTAAAATAACAAGTATGCAGAGTTTGTAAAAATGTACCAAAAAAATGAGGCGAAAAAAACTCACCCAAGATACAAGCTCCGTTATTCAAAGTCTATTTAAAAAGAAAAGTTATTTCGCCCTGAGTAAAAACCAAATGCTACAATTATGGTCAATAGTCCTTGGGACAGTAACGCAATATTCATATTTGTCCATCATCTCTCCGTTCCCTCATAAAAAAGTGCATCCTTTATCGAAATTCTCTTGCCTTCTCAATCATCCCTCCTCGCCTCCCTCACCCTTTACAAAGGTTTATCTCGGAAAAAATCGGACTGTACGTGTCAATCACTGGGGTGAGGTGAGGGGTCGGACCGGTGTGTATTTGATGGAGAAAGCCTCAGAAAAGCAAAAGTCTCAAGACTTTTGTCCATGAACAAGGCTACGAATATTAGGAACTTTCTTGCTTTCATTTTGTCTTCAATTTGATGATTGATCCCGACTAAAATATTTAGGGTTTTTTCCGCCGCCAAAAACACGGTGATATTGTCACCAGAACGTCTCGCTGTGATAGTGTGATAGTATGTTACATACCAGATTTCTTTTAACCATGGTGTTCCGCTGCACGCTTCCGGCGCGCAGAACTCCTCTACTAACCACCACATTTATGTAATATTTTTACATTTAAGCACTGCTAAATGAAGAGAACCTGAACAGAGAAGGCAAAATGGACAGCAGTAGCAGTAGCAGTAGCACCGAAGAAGAAAGTGAAAGTGAAGGCGTTAAGAATAATCAAGAAAGTTGTAGTGAAGAGAGTGAAAGTTCTGAGAGTTCAAACGAAGAAGAAGGGGAGGAGAACTGAGAGGATGAAGCCAGGGCTAGCAAAAACGGAGAAGGTACGGAGGAAGATGGCAGGCCCGATAAAAGAGGGCAAGATGGAAGGGGTAGCAAGAGTGGAGAGAATTCCGGTGAAGATGAAAAGGGGGAAAACAGAGGAGAAGAAGACAGCTGTGGGGTGGAGAAGAAGGCAGAAGTAGGCAGAGCGGAAAAGAGTCTGAGGAAGACGCCAGGGAAGAAAACGGAGGGCAAGAAGAAAGAGGTAGCAAGAGTGGAGAGGATTCAGGTGAAGATGAAAAGGAGGAAAACAGAGGAGAAGAAGACAACTGTGGGGAGAACAGAGTAGCTTCTAAGGAAGATGGCAGGGCGGATAAGGGAGGGCAAGAAGAAAGCGGTAGTGAGAGTGGAGAGGATTCGGGTGAAGATGAAAAGGAGGAAAACAGAGGAAAAGAAGACAACTGTGGGGAGAACAGAGTAGCTTCTGACGAAGACGGCAGGGTGGATAAAAGAGGGCAAGAAGAAAGCGGTAGCGAGAGTGGAGAGGATTCAGTTGAAGTTTATGGTAGCATAAACTGTTGTTAATGAACCTGAGAATGATGCCCTATGAAAGCGCACTTAGGACATACTAGCAACAATCATGTCTCGGTTCTTATGTCACACAACGTGTAACATTTGTATAAGCTTTTGCACTAAGTAATGGTAAATACTAGTTCAAAGTACAAGAAAGAACAATGAACACTAACTAGTTGTTTGATTACAATGTATCCTTCTTCTTTGGCAAAGTCCACTGTAATGTAGCAAGATATATTACTAGACTCCACAAAGGTTCCATTCATATTATGCTATCATAATATGTTATATTATCCATTCATATTATGTTATCATGAACGTGTGCTCCTCTTTTTGCCTTACACTGCCCTTTCCCAGTCAGTTCGTTTAGAGCTCCGGTTCATTCACAACAGCGTTTTTTCGCCTGGTCTACTTCCTCACAAATCGCTTCGCTTAAATCGACTTACATAACTTAGTGTATCATGCCAAGGCAAAGGAGGAACATCAACCGTCGAAATGCCGTATTGGATGGCGCCAACGTACCAGCAGAACCAACAGACTACAGCGCCATGTCTACCAAAGCTCTTCGCCTCATGCTGGGAGAACGTCACCTCCAGCAAACTGGGAATCGCCGCGAACTTATCTCGCCACTACAACATAATGAGCAGCAAAGACCGCCCGCATCACAATCAGCAGGCGCCCAGTCCAACTCCAGTATCACCACTGGCGTTCCACACGCGGAATTGGCTGCCTTAATCGCCTCCATAGTGGACGAGCGGATGAACCGCCAACTAATCCAAGATGGTGGTGCCAGCAATGCCAGTGCTCAACTCACTCGGCCCAGTCCTCTGAGCAACCTTCAGGACAGCCTCAGGTCCAGTCCTCCTCCACCGCCACAAGATGGCGGCCAAAACACAACACAATAACAACCTTCCCTTCAAAATCCTCCGACAGGTAATCTCCTCCGAAGCACCGCCGTTTCTTCTGGTCTTGGTTCCCTCTCTTCTCCAGTCGACTTTTCCGATCCAGCCCAAGTAGCGTTCCTTCACCCTAACTTCCGACAGCCTTCCCTCGCCAGCCATCTGACTAAAGCCACCTCGACGGCCATCACCAACGGTGAGTACGTGGACTTTGCTACCCTTTTACCAATGACCTCCCTTCTCACCTACACCATCCATTCCCATCTTAACCTTAAGGTAGGTGATCAGGGTCTAACTATTCCCCTTCCCTCCTCCTCTAAACGGCCCAAAATCACCTCTATCGATCGATGGCTCGATGCCTTTGCCATATATTACGCCGTTATAGTGTCTGTACATCCCTCTCGTGCCGCGGATTTAATAGCTTATCAACAGTTGATTCACGATGCGGCAGAAAAGTTCCCTGGGATGGCTTGGTATGTCTATCATGTGGAATTTCGAAGGCGTGCCTCCCATAACCTTTCTGCCAAGTGGGGGGAACGGGATGTTCAGCTCTACCTCGATACCTTCACAGGCCTCCCCAAATCGGGATGCCGATCTTGCGGCAGCACTGATCATCTTTCTGATACCTGCCCTTTATCTCCCCGTAGGTCCCGGCATGCCCTTACCCAATCCGACCTGTGCTACAACTTTAACAAAGGCCGACCCTGTGCTCGCACCCCATGCCCTTACCAACACAGGTGTAACCAGCTGGGATGCTCAGCAGCTCACTCTGGGGAAGATCACACTAAACTCACCCGCCACAGAGAGGGCAGACCTAAATCGTCTTCAAGTTCTGGCAATTCCTCCCGAGGACACTCCTAATTACCTCTCCCAACTGACCCCTCACACCCCCACTGACATCAACAAATTTGCATCCTACCTTCAGGGCCATCCAGATCACACAACAGTTAATCATCTTCTCACAGGGTTTTCTCAGGGCTTTAAGATCGGCTATTCAGGTCCAAGGGCCCCCAAGAAATATTCTAACCTTCCCTGTGCAAATATCAACCCATCTATTATTGACAAAAACATGCTAAAAGAGGTTACCGTGGGCCACACAGCAGGGCCTTTCCACATCCCTCCCTTCTCCAACCTGCAGGTATACCCCATTGGGGTCATTCCCAAGAAACACTCTTCGGAATGGCGTACCATTTTCCATCTCTCCTACCCCAAACACCGCCCCACCAGTGTCAATGCTCACATTCCTACCGAATCCTATTCTTTGCAATACATAAAGGTGGACCACGCAATTGCCATACTTCAGGATCTCGGTCCAGGATGCTTCATGTCTAAACTAGACATAAAATCAGCATTTCGCAATGTTCCTATCCACCCCTCTGATTGGGAACTTCTGGGTATGAAATGGGAAGGGTTCTATTTCTTCGATATGGTCCTCCTCTTCGGTCTCAGGTCGGCCCCCTTCCTTTTTGATGAATTCTCTTCTGCAGTTGAATGGATCATTCAAACTAAACTTAATATCCCAAAGGTTATCCATATACTACATGATTTCTTTTTTGCTACCTCCCCTCCCAGATCAAAATGCATGACTGCTCTATGCCAAATTTTGCACCTTTTTACTCCTGGGAAAACCTTCCCTGCATGCACATGCCTTGAATTTATGGGTATCCTACTAGATTCCAATAAAATGGAAGCCCATCTCCCGATGGATAAACTCACCCGCATTCAGGAAGCCCTTTGTCAGTGGACTACTAGGAAATCTGCTACCCTACAGGAGCTACAGTCTCTGATTGGCACCCTTCAATTTGCTTGTAAGGTTATTGCCCCCAGCCGCCCCTTCTTGCAACGCATTATCCACCTTACAAAGGGTATCAAGTTCCCCCATTGGCATATTCGCCTTAATTCCGGTTTCCGTAAGGACATTTCTATGTGGCAGCATTTTCTCCAAAATTGGAATGGGGTGTCTCTCTTTTTAGATACCCAGACCACCTCTCCCCCGGAGCTTCAGCTATACACTGATGCTTCTGGTTCCCTTGGGTATGGGGGTTTCTTAGCAGGGGAATGGTTCCAGGGCCACTGGCTCCCCCACCACACCCTCAGCCAAAAAAGGGGTATTAGTATTGAATGGCAGGAGCTATTTCCCATATACTTGGCCTGTATTTTTTGGGGGCCCTGCTGGTCCGGCAAAAGAATCCGCATGTGGTGTGACAACAAGTCAGTGGTGGCTAGCATAAACTCTAAACACTCCCAAGTCCCCCCGGGTAATGGACCTTATTCGAGCAATCACACTTCAAACGCTCCAATATAACTTTGCATTCACAGCTACTCACATCCCAGGCTTAGACAATTCTATCGCTGATTCCCTTTCCCGTTTTCAGATGGACCGCTTCCGTACCCTGGCTCCCTCAGCCTCTCCCACAGCCTCCACCATCCCTCCATCAGCGATGAACATCTGAGAGGTTCTGTACAGCGATACCTTCATGCTTCCCTTGCCCCTTCCACTCGATGCACCTATCAAGTTGGCGTTAAGCACTTCCTCACGTTTACACTCATGCACGGTTTAGTAGGCCCCTCAAACCCCCTCCTACCAGCCTCAGAGATAACCCTGATGTATTTTGCATCTCATTTAGCCAACACCATATCCTATGAAACAGTTAAGCTGTACTTGGTGGCAGTGCAGGACCTTCATCGGGAGCTTAACTTTCCTCTTAAGCTCAATGACATGCATAGGTTACAAAAGGTCCTGACAGGCATTAAGCGCCTCACTCCTACCAAGTGGCTTGACCGTTTTCCCATTACCATAACAGTTCTCCATTCCATTCACTCTTTACCTTAAGCCCGAACTTTCCTATAACCTGGACCATGTTATGCTTTGGGCGGCCTTCACCCTTGCCTTTATTGGGTTTTTAAGATCCAGTGAATTCACTTGCAATGGCCCCTTCGACCCCTCTGTCCACCTCACTTCCAAGGACATCACACTGGTACCCAACTCCCACTCACCCAGCCATATGCTAGTCCACATCAAACAATCCAAAACTGACCCCTTCAGACAGGGCCACACAATCACCATTGCAAAGTCCTCGTCACCTATCTGTTCGGTGATGGCCATGAAAGACTATCTCCTTCAAGTCCAGCCAACATCAAGCCACCCTCTGTTCGCCTTCGTCCAACCCAGACAATGGCTTACACGGAACAATCTCACAACAGACCTTAGGTCAATTCTTCACCACTGTGGTCTCCCTGCCAACAATTTCTACTCCCACAGTTTCCGTATTGGAGCCGCCACCACAGCAGCCAAAGCTGGCCTTCCACCCTGGCTTATTAAAGTTCTAGGCCGCTGGAGCTCAGACTGTTATGAACGCTATATAAGGACCCCTAAATGTACCATTTTAGAAGTACCTAGACTCTTAGCCAATACTAGTCCATAACTAACTTCAGGACAGCCAGTGTTGTCTTCAACTCTCGTCAGATCACTTGCAAAGTCTCATAGGAACAGAAGGTATGGCTCCCTCTTCTTGCCGGAGCCCAACTTTATTCCCCTTCTACTGTGGGGGGATTGTGTCCCCTGTCTCCCCATGCTCCACAATCCGTGGCAGAGAAGTGCAACCCCTGGCTGCACTTTACCCCACAGTAAGGCTTCGCCCTTGGAGACAGGTCCGGAAAAATATCCACTCCAGGGTGTGGACCCCCGGTCCCACCTGATCTGTACTCCACCCAGGAGGGCCACCCCTCCTGGTTCCCCTCAGTTCCTGTACTGGGGGATATGGGCCTCACCACCGGAGACTGATCAGGACTCCTGTCCAGGGTGGCTACCCCCGGTACCACTCGATCTTGTCTCCCCCCAGGAGGGCTTCTCTCCTGGTCCCCTTATCCCTAGATTTAAGCGCTTCCCTGCCACCAGAATTTTGCCCATTACCCTTTGTGTGTTTTCTATGTGGTACCGACAGAAGCATTTATGCGGAAAAACACTGCCAATTGGAAGAGTTTATTAACATGTAGTTTTCACCGTCAAAGGCATTTGAGGACCTTATGCTAGCTTAAATACATTCCTCTTAAGCAGCAACAGTGATGGAATATGATCCCTATTTCAAAGTCCATGGGCTAATGTAATCTGTACCAGTTTAAGCCAAAGTAAAACGAAGCATCGATGTTACATTATTGAGAGGACTAGTCAAGTTTTTAACAATTGCACTGTCTTTTTCATGACACCTCTATATATGTGGGTATTACCCATTCAGTAAAAGGTGAAGTAAAAGCAAAGAGGAGAACTTTAATGCCAGTAGAAGTTCCAAAATCAGCGTCAAAGGTTGTCATTTGACATAAAGCAATTCTATGTAGTCGTCATTTTTTGTTTGTGATTTTCTCTGTGTTTATCTAATGAACATATTTCACACTCTTAATTGAACTAAGCTTAAGCATGAACTACACGTTGAATAGTGTCTCATGTTATTTCACATTCGCAGATGAAGGTACAACTTTCCATTGCAAAGAAGGATCTTTGAGAGAAGTCTGAGAAGATTGGAATGTCAGATGAGATACTCAATTCATGGAGGAAAGACATTTATCTTGCTGCATTGGGTCAGAGGTCTAATGGTGCAATTATTTTTAATTTCCTGTCATCGTGAAAATTCTACATCCACAGTGCAACCCAATCGCAGTATGCACACTGCCTGTCAAGAGAGTAGAGCCCTATCTATCTGAACATGGTAAGATTATTCTGCTTGGCGATTTACTGCTAGAACGGGGACATTAAACGACTTTATTGAAAATGATACACTCAGCCCTGTACTACCTACTGATATCTACCATCTTGTTGAACACTGTCCTAAACGAAATAATGCACATTATACTGTAAACAAATAGGTTATAAATTTTGAATGGTAAGCTAACAGGTGATCTTGATGGGAAGCTAACCTCCTATCAGAGAACAGGAGTGGGCACTGTTGACTATGGAATTGCAAGCAAAGAACTCCTTAAGTCAATACTTAGATTTCAAGTGCAGACCCTAACCCCATATACCGATCATTGTCCAATTAGTGTTAAAATACCATTTTCCAAATCTGGCTCAATGAAGGACAAATCTAATGAAGAACCTGTAAGACAGACTAAAAAGACTCCAATAGTTCAAAACACTCCTAAAACATTCCTGTGGAAGACAGGATCCAAAGAAAAGTTTGAGTGCACTATCAAGCACAGACATTCAAGGTCAATTCAAATCTTTCAACGCTAGAGATTATCCTTCGATGGATGACGACATTTCGCATTTCAACAAACTAATAATGCACACAGCTAAAATAAGCCTGGTACTGTCAAAGAAAAAATGGAAAAACACTAAAAACAGCAAACCGTGGTATTACAATACATGCAGACAGTTAAAGAAACAATTACAACACCTTGCAAAGAAAATGAATCCTACAACTCAGAGATCTTTGCAAAAGGAATATTTTGCCCTTAAAAAGAAATATAAAAAACAGGTCAAATTGATGTATAAGAAATACAAAAGTAATCTTATTAATGAGATAAATGCATTAAGTTTGGAACGCAGTCAAGACGTTTGCAGGCAGATCAACAAACTCCGAAAAGAAAGTACGATCGAGAAGAAACCCTCATATCTCCGGAAGCATGGATACAACATTTTCGACAATGACTTTATGATAACAATGAAACAAATGAAAATACAAATTTTGCAAATGACTCGGACGAAACAGAAAATTTGACAGATGATGAAATCTTAGGAAAACCGATCACTCCAAAAGAAATCCACGAACATATACCAAACCTTAAGACAAAGAAAGCAAGCAGCGTGGATTATATTCTAAATGAAATGATCAAACATGGTCGATATTTTTTGCTTCCCTCACTAGAAAAATCTTCAATGATATACCTAACAGTGGTAAATTTCCGACTGACTGGAATATTGGCGTGATAAAACTCATTTACAAAAAGAAAGTTGATAGAAGGTCCCCAGCAAATTACAGAGGAATCACTTTGACAAGTTGTTGGGGCAAATTGTTCACATCAATTTTACAATCCAGGTTGAATAAATAAATCGAAATCCATAACATTCTCAACCTGGAACAATTTAGAATCAGACCAAATGCTACAACAACAGATAGTTTATTCATCTTGCAACAACTCCTTCATAAGTACACCAAACAACATGTCATGAAGAACTTTATGTTGGCTTTATTGACTATGAAAAGGCTTTGAATAGTGTATGGCAGTCTGGAATAATATATAAACTACAAAGGGAAGGAATAAAAGGAAAATTCCTGAAGGTCATCAAATCGATGTATTTATCAATTAGGAGTTATGTGAAGGTTAATCACAACACAATGACTGTTAGCTTCTTATGTAACAAAGGCATACGGCAAGAGGATGGCTTAAGCCCAGTGTTATTTTCTTTATTTATGAATGACTTGCCGGAGTATCTTAGAGCACATAACTGCCCTGGCGTAAAGTTAGGTAAATCAATCACTAAATTGCCTCATGTATGCTGATGATCTGTTAGTAATTAGTAATTTACCAGAAGGATTACAATTGCTGAATGTAATTTATAAACTCGCTCAAGAATGGAAGGTCAAAGTAAATAACAAAATTTAGCGGTAATGGACAAAACAAAAACCAACAAATTTCAAATATGCAAATGAAACTATAGAAATTGAAAACAAACAAACAAATAAACACACCTAGGAATAGAAATGATATCATCTGGTCGTTACACCTGTGCAAAGGAAATTCTTAGTAAGAAGGCTACCAAAATTGTCTTCACAATTAAACGATTACTCTCAAACATTGATTCTTCAGCGGTCGAGACAAGGAATAAACTTTTTGATGCCCTTGTTAAACCAATACTACTTTATGGTTGTGAAATATGGGGACCAGAACTAATATCTTATATGACAGATTTTGATAAAAGTACAATTGAGCAAGTTCACATTAAATTCTGTAAACAAACATTAAATGTCCCATGGTACACAGAAAACAAAGCCTGTAAAGCAGAACTTGGCCTATACCCTTTATCTATAGACATAAAGGCCTCCCTTTTATGTTACTGGCAAAGATTAGAACAAAAATCAGACAACCCTCTCTTAAATGAAGCTTTCAATACGAAACAATACAAATGCACCACAAAAACGAGGTGATAAAAAACCAGCAATGTGTTAAGAACACTCGTTCTAGCATTAAACAACAGTTGCAGAAAAAATTTTCTCAAGATTGGTTTGAAGCTCAAAACGACATTTCGGATAGCTCTAGACAAAAATATACAAACAAGGAAATTAAAAAAGATTATCGTTCAGAAGAATACCTAAAGATACTTAGAAATCCAGCTCATAGAATCAGTATCACTAAACTGCGATTGGGAGTTCATACTTTACGCATACAAACAGGGAAATATGAAAATAAAGAAGCTTCCATGCCAGTAGAGGAAAGGCTTTGTTTAGTTTGCAAAAGACACTGGATAGAAGACGAGAAACGCTTCTTAATTGACTGTACTGAATACGATGGTCTTAGACAGAAACTTTATTTACATATTTCTGAAAATGATGCAACCTTCATCAATTTAACAGGTCATGATAGAACGTTATATTTACTCAGATTAGACAATGCAAGTACTTCACAAGTTATAGCCAAACATGCCCATCTAATGTTTAAAAAACGAAAACAGATCCTGAGTCAAAAATCTAATTGATTAGTTAATTACATTATAGTATAATTATTATCGAAATAGTATATGCCGTATAATTTTGTTTCCTTTCATATTTTATACAACTTGTTGTAGTTATAAAAACCTTTATTGTAACTAGACCAATGCCTCCCTTCGGAGAGTAAGGCGCAATAAAGATATACTATACCATACCATTTATGACATATTTTCAAGCTGTATGGGCATTTACCTTTTACTCTGCTTTCACAATGCTTTTTACCCTTCTGCACACCCTGTAGAGTGGAGATTACCAATACAGTTTACAGCGTCAGTGGTGTAAAGGAAAACCAGCACTTTTCCAGATCCCAACATGAAATCCAATAATGCATCGATGTAGATTTAGTTTGTATATCAAAGAAAACTCCTTTTTGAGTTATTTTGAAAACATAGCTCATATGTCAGTGGTGTGAGCGTATGTATCTTTGTGGCTTTGTATGTCCGGATGTTTGTTGCAAGAGCCAATAAGGTTGAAGGTACTATGTGTTGATGGTTAGGAACCAATGAGATCTTGGCATCTATTTAAACACGGTTACAGGTGTTTGGAAGCATACATTAAATATCTTGATGATTCAAACGCTGTGTACAGTGATGCAGTTGTTCAAGGGTTTATATTTTAGTGTGGATGCTACTTCAAGACATTTATGACCGAATTTGGCTATTGTGAACAGTAGAGCGCACGTATTTATGAGTTGTGTTTGATCAGCTTCACTGGGTGAGGAAGAGTATAAAAGATCATGTATTTTCAAAGCTCTTCCAATGAAACAATAATTGATATTTAGATATCGACTTTAATTTGAAAGTATGCGGCCTATAAATTGTGGTTTTAGATGTTTGAAAGGCAGCTTATTTTTTTGGAAGTTGTACCGAGTATTGTTAATCCAGTAAACAAGCTTTTTCTCTCACTTACAAAGTTCAACAGACTTTTGTTTCGTTCCTGCAATTAAAACATGAATAAGTGAACAACATGATACATCCTTCCTGCTGACTAAGTATTATAGTTATTGAAACGTGTATTATTTAGTAAAGATGCGTAACTTAAGCCTGGTTTCCATATCATCGCTAGGATCGCTGTGATCGCTGCCATGGCTCAGAAAAAAAAGTTCAGTGATCGCAGTGATCATAGCGATCATAATGAAACCACTTTCCAGCAATGACAGTCGCTGCGATATAAAAAGTTATATGTCAGTGATTGATGTCACTGCGATCATTGGAAAGTGGTTTCCATATCATCGTTATGGTCGCTGCGATCGCTGAACTCTTTTTTTCTCAGCGATCACAGCGATTGTACACAGGAAAAAATTACATTTTCGAACATTGGTTGTTGATTAGTTCATTATTGTAATATCTTTGGTAGGTCATTGGTAAACATGACAAGTTTTCCAACATTGGTAAATGGTTATATCTCCCAATGTTGGTATGTCATACACAATTTACCAACATAGGACAACAAAATTTACCAACACTGGTAAGTCATTTCCAGCATTGGTGGCCCTGCATTCCAACATTGGTAAATAATTCTCCAATATTGGTCTATTATGAAGTCCAACGTTGGAAAATTGTTTTAGAAGTTGGAGAACTGAATTATCCAATACTAGATGAAAGTGTTTGATAGCGACAGACTCCAACCACTGGACATGTTTGCAACATTGGACACGTACATAAGCCAACATTGGTTAAGCTATTGCCTATATTGGTTTTAATACAATCCAACATTGGATCAAATATTTTCAATACTGGGGTAAAATAAAGACCAATATTGTGACAAATGTATTCAATGTTGGATAATAATACAATCCAACACTCGACATAAACAATTTCAAACATCACAAGTTGAATTTCCAACATTTTATTTTACCTTAATTCCAAACATGACTTACTTTGGTAATACCAAAAGATGTACACTTGCAATCAATAACCAGTAGATGTAACTGTTAAGCAAGAAAATTAACGTAAGCAAAGTAACATGACATTTCAATGACTTCATATCACCATTGTCGAATGATTAAATTAAAAATAATGGCAAGGCATATTTATAGTACAATGACATGAAGTCGTTGAAACGTCATGTTACTTTGCTTAAATTAATTTTCTTGCTTAAATGTTATTCGAAATCATTTTTTATAAGATGTAATTGCACCACTCAATGATTAAAAAAAATTAGGAAACTACATGTAATCTATTAGCAACAAAACATAATAATTAAAAATGCAACTGTAATATAAATCTGAGAGTAACGCTGTATTTAAATAACCACAACTGCTCTTCATTCTCTCTTCTTCACTCAAGTTAAGGTTTGTCCCAATGATATGGTTAAAAAAACACAGAAAACAAATTAGTTAGCTCACTTGACTGTCATTAACCACACCATTTGAACTGCAAGAGTCCTGTGACTCCTTTCCATCAGAAATAAGTGATTCAATGTCAGTTATCACATTCACCTCGGTTCTTTTAAGGTTCGGGTAATTAAAGTCAGAACCTTTGATAGCAATATGGCCAGCCTTCACAACGGCCTTTGCCAGTGGAATTAACAGTTGGTATTTCAATAAGCTCCTGCATTTTACACTTAATGCTTTTCCTAGTGGTAAAAAATGCTTCCTAACTGTGAGGAAATCGATTGAGTGAACATTGAACGGTTTTTACTATGCAAATTTCTGCAGATTGGGGAGATATGTCCATTATGTCATCACTTGGTTCCTCTTCTTAGTCATCTAGAAAATATAAAATACTATGAATTGAAAGATTTCTGTTTTGATGCAGCGTCTGTTTCTTCTAGTTGCTCGCCTGGTTTATTCTGGAAAAAACTGAGGCCACTCCTACCAAATAGCAAGTCCAGTGTCGATACAAGTTCAATTTGTTTACTTGAAAACGGCAGAATTGTTCCTGACACTACTGCATCTCTTAATGAATATTTTACGTCTCCCACAATTAATGAGTTCGTCCTAAACTTTTCTGTGGAACTTGAAAGATCGGTGCGGTCACAACAGTTATAATTCTGCTTCCGTGGGTCTT